TGATGCAGCTTTGTATTGTTTTCCATTTTAGGCTCTTATGAACAAGAACTGTGTTCCAAGGCTGAGGCATTTGCTGTGATTGCATCTTCTCCAACTTCTTCCTCTGGCCTTCCCTTTCCCGACCACTGTCAATCTTGAAGAACCCCCTAATAATCTTTTCTCATGCTAATAATCTCCATCTCACTGTCTACTTCTTGACCCGACCTGCAACAACAACCCTGACGGATTTATTATATCAAATTGGCTATGGTGTTTTACTTTGCTGTGAGACTTGGAAATTCTGAACCTTATGAGTCAAGTTTTCATAAGGCCCTGAACACAAAAGAGATGAAAACTGGCATGCTAGGTGCAATGTCAGAGTGAATGTAATAATCAAAGGTGATTTTCCAAACATGAATGAACATTTTCTAGGTTTTTAGGCAAAAATTTCATGTAAAATGAGAAAAGTGGTGTGTTAGGAGGTATAATCTGGCTTTGTATGTATAAAATGAATTGGAGAAGAAACCTTTAGACAAATACAATCGTTCCAACATAAGGAAACAATAAGAAGGAAGGGATGTGAGAGCCTTTGTGGAGAGAGGAGGAACAGGTTGAGGGCACTGTGGCTGTGTGTAGAATTGTCAATGTGGAAAGTGGAGAAGTTAATGATGCCACCAATGCTCTGAATCCAGATGGCCAATGTAGCATTTTTCATTCCATTCATTTGAGCTTTGGAGAAGAAGAAAAGAGTGTAAAGGAGCATGCTTTTGAATAATATAGATGTCAGGAAGAAATACTGGTGTGTGGGTAAGAAGATGCAGAGTTCAGTTTTAGAGCTGGTGGAATGATAAGAAAAGTATACATCAAAGGATAGGAGAGGTGAGTCTTTTGTGTAAGGAAGGAATTAACAAAAGAGATAAAGATTGGTATAGCAGGGTTATGTCTTGTATTAGTTATCTATTGCTGCACAACCAATTACCCCAAAATGTAGCAACTTAAAATGACTACATATTTACGATTTCACAGATTCTGTGGGTCAGGAAATCAGGTGCCACGTATAGCCGGGTCCTCTAGCTTTGGGTTTCTCACAGGGCTGTGGTCATCTCAAGACTTGCCTGGGGAGGATTCGCTTCTAAGAACACTCATGTGTTTGTTGGCAGGCTTCCAATCCTTGTGGGTTGTTGGAGTGAGTTTCAGCTCCTCATAAGCTGTGAACCACCCTTGGTTTCTTGCTATGTAGGCATCTCCATCGGGCAGCTCACAACACGGCAGCAAGCTAGCAAGAGGGTAAGAGAGAATGCCAGCAACAGAGACAGAAAGCCAGCGAGATGCAGGTAAGACTGCAACGACATCATGGAAATGACATCTCATCACCTGTGTTATGTTCCGTTTGTTAAAACTGAGTCAGTAGGTTCTGTGCACAAAGGAAGGGGATTCCACAGATGCCTGCATACCAGGAGGCAGAGGTCACTGGGAGCCCTGTCAGAGCTGCCGACCACATCTACATAAAGCAACATTCCAGGATATGGTGCTAATTCACTACAGAAAAACTCTCTAAGCATTTTTTGCCTCCTACAACCTTGCTGTTAGAAACTTCCATAAAGTATTGGAAATGTTTTCCTTCGATAGAAGACCATATGTCACTGGAGGTGTTTTTGTCTTTACTAATGCACCCAGTAACTTGATTTTAAAAGTGAACTGTGCAATACTGTATAATTTCAAATGCTTTGCTAGCAAAAATGTATTACCTTTAATTAGACTGATTTAAAGCTGTTAAGATTCTTGTCAGAAATAATTTTTAAGTGGATGTGTCAAGATAAAAACAGCAGTTGTCAAGTGAAGAAAACGGTAATTTGTGCATGTGCTGTCTGGCTTATGAGCAGTTGGGTCTTTAAATACTAGCTGAGCATTTGTGCTTACAATCCCTTGTATAACAGCCACTCTGGCAGTTAAAGATTCAAACTGTTGAAATGCTATTGTTTGTGGTAAATATTTGTCCTATGACTAGGGAATTAAATTTGTTTCCTACTCTGTAATATAGACAAAAGCACCACTAAGAAGAGAATGCATTTAAGCGATTCAATTTACCAATTGGTCCAGCAGAGAACATGAGCAAAGCATTCTGGGTGATTACAGTGGAATAAAGATAATAATAAAGACCGTTCTTTGATGAAAGCAAACCAGGTGACTTGAAGCATTTGAAAAAGCTTGAATTCTGTTTTGCAATCTTTTTAGGCTATTCATTTCTTTAGCAAGCTTTTGTTACTGGGCAGTGGAAAGGTGGACTTTTTCTTGACTCTGTGGTGGGGTTTCTTAGTAGTGGCACTATTGACTTTGGAGACATATAATTCTTTTTTGGGGGCAGGGTGTCTGTCCTGTGCACTGTAAGCTGTTGAGCAGCATTTCTGGCTTCAACCCTCTGGATGCCAGTAGCTCTGTTCTTCCTCATCCCCACCCTAGTTTTGATAACTAAATATATTTCCAGACAATGCCAGACGTACTCAAAGGTAGGGGGAAGAAGGGAAAATCACCATGCTCTGGGAATCAACATAGCTTTTGGATATACTTTGGCTTTGTGCCCCTACCCAAATCTTATCCTGAATTTATAATCTCCAGGTGTTGAGGGAGAGACCTGGTGGGAAGTGATTGGATTATGGGGGCTGTTGCTCCCATGCTATTCTTGTGATTGTGAGTAGATTCTCATGAGATCTGATGGTTTTATAAATCGTAATTTTTCCTGAGAAAAGCTCTCACAGGCTGTTCTGTCTCCTGCAGCCATGTGAAGAAGGTCCTTGCTTCCCCTCCCATCACGATTTAAGTTTCTTGGGGCTTCCTCAGCCATGTGGGAGTGTGAGTCAGTAAAACTTTTCTTTATAAATTACTCAGTCTTGACCAGTTCTTTATAGCAGTGTCAGAAAGACTAATACACTTTTGGATTAGGGAATTCTAAATTAACAAGATTTAATAGATTAAGTTTATAAATATTTTGTCTTTTCTGTTAGTCCCCCAAAGCATCCACATGCTATGTAAGATTATTTATTCTCTTATTGATTCAGTTAATAGGCATTTGTTAAGTGCTTACTACCTGCAAAAGACATTACCCAGGTATTAGGGAGATATGGAGAAAAATAGATATAGATTTTTTTGTCCTGAAGAAGCTTGAGATGTGAGGCACTGGGGCGGGGATTTAGGTCATTCATACGCATATATTGTGCACACTATAATGCAAGTAGAAAGCACCAAGTTTGAGCAAAGAGCTAAAATTTTCTGAAATGTTGTAGATATCAGAAATAATCTAAATAGAAGGAAATAATTTACATTATTTTCTTAATTATTTCCATAATTTACATTTTTCCTTCTATTTCAGAAATTTCAGAAATAATGTAAACAGAAGGAAACGAACTTCTATTTTTCTCTTGCAGACAAGTGGTGGGTTAAAAGCTCAACCCTGAGCTGAATTTAATAGGGTGAGGTTGACCTGTAGTTTAGGCATATGAGAATAGGTTTTGGGTTGGGACTGAAACTCTGGAATATAGCATCAAGTCTAATGTGGCAAGGCAGAGAGATGGAAACCCAGCCTGAAGCCCATGGTTCTCAATCAGAAGTAGCAAAATGGAGGCAGCACATTCAAGGGGACTAACAGACACAGGTACTGGAGAAGGTCCCAGAAACACAGACAGCACCTGGTGCCTTTGATAGGAAAACTGCTCATAGCCCCATGGAGCAATGAGAGCTGTAAAAGCACCACACTGGTTTGATGAAAGAGAGGCCTTTCAATGGAACCAAAATTATTCCTCTCCAATGTATAGTGCTCAGAAACTCAGCAGTGGTGTATGGAGAGCAAGTCCAAACCAAATAGAGGCCGCAGAAGACGAGATATCAAAAAGTTATCTTTCCAAGTACCTACCACAGGCTGGCTGCTTGCCCAACATCTCCATCATTAGAGCTTTGATGTTTGAGCCAGGCTTCTGAAAAAAGCAAAAATTCTCCCAGAGATGGCATTAGTAGCCACAAATCTCTTGGTGGTACAATTCTCAAAGTATATTCCTAAGACTTTTAATGGGTGTTGTCATGAAGAGTTCTATTAACAAGTGTGTTTTTGGAATGACAGGTAAAACAAGAGAAACATACGCCTTCACTGTAAAAATTGTCAGTCTTTCAGGTACACCATAAACCTCAAATCGAGGGATATGATGGGAAGCCTTTCCCAGATTTATTTGACTACAAAGCTATTTCATTGTGTAGCATCTGTGCTTTGGTAACCCTGCCTTGTTATGAATGAGTTTGTGAAATAAGTGGCTTTTGCCAACTGTCTGAACTTTAAGTGATAGGGAGATTGCAGGGAAAATACATCAGCATGTGAGTATTCACAGACCCCTCCCTCCCTCACCTGCTATGAAAAAACTGACTTTGCCTGCTTGGCCCACCATTTCTCCTGCTCTGCCTAACAGGTTGCTGGCTTGATAACCAACTTCTTAGTTTTTATTATTACAATCACTGTAAGTGGTCAGGAGATTGTAGCTCATTACTCTAGAAAGGTCAAAGAGTAAATGGTAGGGTAAAAGAAATAGAACTATTAAAGGGGAAATTAAAAGTGGGACCATTTGAAGGGGATGGTTGTCAGTATTTGAGCAGGCAGGTGAGTGGCCTTGAGAGCAGCCTTCATGCATCTTGGAACTTTCAAAAGGAGGAATGGTTGGTATTTGAATGTTTTTTTGAGTTCTACAAAAGTAATTTTGAAGTTTTTTTTCCAAACCAAACTGTAGTAAATACAAAGTGTTTTTTATTTACTTATAACTTCTAGGATGGATTTCTGTAAATGTGAAAATGAGATCAAGTGGGATTTTAAGGCAGGATTTAAAAGGTCTGTGTTTATAAGAATTATTCCAGAAAATATTTAATGGGAAGCAGAGGTCATGGGTTAAAGTGAAAGAGGGTCAGAGGATGTGCGTATCCTTGTAACAAAGACAGAATGGGATGATATGGTAAATACCTGTCATTTTTTTGTCTTTTCTACTTACCTCTCAGAATACCAAGCACCCTATTTCTAGGGACAGCTCTTCCACTCCATGTGGTTCTGAGGAGCTGCCAATCGCAGGACATGGCCCTGCAGCCGTAGGAATGAACATAAAAAGTAGGCCTGGCCAATCATAGTAACTGGTTTCCATGGCCACAGGGATGAGCACATGACCCAATTCAGGCCAATCAGAGTCCTTCCCTGCAGTTTCATAGAGAGAGACAATGGAATAGAGAAGCTCTGGTGTTACTAAGCAGGAAATGAACGCCTAGAGTTGTCTGCATCCACACCTCTTTTACCATTTTCTCATTCAACCTGGCCATGAGGAAGAAGCCAATCTATAGAAAAGGAAGAGGACAACAGGTAGAACCTGAGCTTGGAGATAGAGGGAGATGGCAAAATGTAATCACATTATCTAAGTCACTGGGCTTCCTGGGCCAGCTTACTACTGGATTTCTCTGCTGTTTGAACCCATTGTTCCAGTTTGGCTTAACTCAGTAAGTTTAGTTTCTGACACTTGTAACCAAAGGAGTCCGGGTGAATCAATGTTCTGAGTGCCTTGAGGACAGAAATCTGTCAGTGACTGCAATGAGGGAGAAAGACCATACTGATGGGGTGAGAAGGTGTTGCTGTCAACTTCCCATGAGCCCCATTTGCTTAGAGCAGGTCCCGATGGTCTAAAGAGGGAGTGGGAATCATATAGGAGTGAAAAGTGAGAAATTAATGTCCTCTTTTGACTTGAGTTGGCTGCCTTCCTGGGGTGATGTGGCAAGAAGAGCTGGGTTCCTTGGATGGTAATTTGATTTTGCATTACCAAAATTTATGCTCTAAATATTGATCTGTTTTCCCTCTTATCTGTTTCATGGCTGTAGTTGCTACACTGCATTTCAGTTAAAAAATACATGTCCACAATTTTTATTGGTTGCTTGTTTTAATTATTTCTTTATGGTTAGATGAGGCTGTATATGCAAAGAAACATGTGATGCTTCTTTATGGTCATCTGGCATGGTGTGCAGACGTGATGAAATGTGGCACAGTCTACCCACATTGGCTGAGTGTGATGATTCATAACACCAATGCAGGAAGACGTGTTTTACTACGTTGGCCTCTATAGTTTCTCCTCAAATACACTCCCCATATATTTCCTTCAGAAATTCAATTCATGCTGCACAAATTAATGTCTCTTTTTCGTGTCTTTTTGAAAGGCAATAACTTAGATGACACACTTTGAAGTAGGAAGCATTCGAGTTCTTGAAAGAAAAGACAAGAGACCATGTTGACTTTTCACTGTGAACCAAAAACGCACGTAAGAGCACTATATGTTTTCTTTTTCTTGTTATTTGTGTATTTTTTCTTTTTTCTTAAACAGAAAATCCTTTTGCAACTGTCCTGGGTCTTAGACTGTCATCCCCCTCCTCTTCTATTCCTATTGTGTTGATGTAGTATAGACTCAAGCTGGATTAGAAGTCCAATTCTAAAGTTAATTGAATTGGGAAATTCACTTATTCTTTGGTGTGTGTACATGGGCATTAGGTGTGGGCCTGGCTTGGTGGGAGGAGATGTGGCAGTCAACTTGTAGTCTTAGTAACCCCCCATAACTTGGCAGCAGAGCTAGGGTACTTCTTATGATAATCTAAGACTTCTCCCTAGATAAAAGGGCATTAGGCTATATGTCCTGGGGGAACTATTAAATGTTAGCTGATTTTTAAATAGTTAATGCTATTCTGCATTGGTTGAAGAAACTCAGGATGTGTAGCCAAGTGAATGGAAAGGTATGTGGTGAAAGTGATGATGATAATGATGTCTAATACTTACTGAACACTTACTATGTGTAGGGCACTGTTAGGAATATTCTACACCTGTTCTCACTTAATTGCTGCAACTTCATCAGGTTACCCATCTCTGATGAGGAAACTGAGGCTTTGACATTGACTCACACAGCTAGGGTGCAATGGAATAGGACATGGACCCAAATCTCCACGACTTCTGAGCCCAAGTTATAAAGGAACTGATTGGGACTCAACTAGGGAATGATGATTTGATGTGTCTGTCAAGAGAATGGCTGTTCTGCCAGGCTATTCCTGGGCACATTCAAGCCTAGGTTGGAGGACTATTGTCAGGGGAGTTGTGAAGGGAATTCTCATACACTGAGTAAAGAGATTAGGGTGCACACTGAGAGGGGAAATGCGGCATGTTGGGGAGTGACTCGAGCAGAGGTTGAACAAGTAAGCTGGGGTCATATGTTATTATAAGGATTTGTTGTTTTAATCCTAAAGGCCTTGGGAAGCATTTTAAAGGCTTAAAGCCAAGAGGAACTTGCATTTTTTGTAAGATTAAACTGGCTTCACTTTAAAAAACGGAACCAAATGGGTTGGCCGGGTGCAGCAGGACCTTTTAGGAGGTCATTCCACTTATACCATTGACATGGGAGAGCTAATGATGGCTTGAACTAAGCCACTTGATTAAAACAAATTAACCAATTTAGACAATATCATCCCCAAATGTCTGGTCTGCCAGACTCTCGCTCATTCCTCCTGCCTTGTAAATTCTCTCCATTGCTCATCACTTTCAGCTGGTCAGGAAAACTTGGGGCAGTTTCTAAAGAAGCCATTCATCAAATATTGACAGACATGGAGGATTAGGGCAAATAAGTGACTTATTTAACCCTGTCCTTGGATGCACAGAGATTTGTGGGTGAGAGGATGGTTATCTCTTTAAAGAAGATGGAGAAAGGCAGATACCAAGGGCTAGGTTTGCTGTAGGGAAGAGGTGGAAGAATGGAAGTTAGCATTTGTTTCCAAGTCAGGCATCTCAGGGAAGCAGAAAATGCTATTAACTGAGAATCAGGACACTCTTCTTTTTAAATTATGGGACTTTGGCCATGTCACTTAACTTCCTCAGTTGCTTTATCTAGAAAGTGGAGATTCCTGCCCCATGTCTCTCATAGGATTACTGGGAGGATTCAATACAATGGCACATATGGAAATGCTTAAAAAGGCACAAATCATTCCATACACACTGATTGTCATGTCCAGTAATCGAGGTAAGAGGCACTTTACAGGTGCAAAGGGCAACTTTACTGAGAATGCATGCTCATGTTTTAAAATCTAAGTTTTCTCAGGATCATTCCTAGTATCTGATTATACTTTCCACTATCAATTGCCACTTAATTTGTACTTCTGTTTTGGGGAAGCAGTACTATCCAGTGTTAAGAACATGTGCTTTAGAGTCATACAGATATAGATTTAATTTTCTGCTCTGAAATTTGACATCTTTTTAATATTTAACTTCTCCAACTCAGTTTTCTCTTCTGCAAAGTGGGTCTATTAATAGAATGAACCTTGTAAGCCTGGTTTGAGGATTAAAAGAAACATTACATGTAAAGTTGTTAACACAGTTGTTAGCCCATGTTAAGAGCTCATCACATGTTAATTATTATTATTTCTATATCCTTTAAAATTTTCAGTGTACTTTCTAGCTGCATTTTCTAATTTAATTATTCTTAACATTATTAATAGGTGTCTGATTATTATCTGTCTTCCTTCATTTGTCCACTTAGGTAGGTTTTGCATGGACTACACGAAGAGTTTTCCACCTCCCTCCACCTAAAAATTCCTTGGGAAATGATTTAGGAGAAAGAACCAAATCGAAAAGAGGCAGAGACAGCTGATTGTTGTAAGGGATAGTGAGACCAAATGACGTTAGGCCAGTTCAAATTATTGACGTCCCCAGGGCCACTGAGCACCCAGAACTATAGTGAAGTTCCCAGCAGCCCTTGCATCATCAGTGGTGTTCCCTCGTTGCAGACCCATGGGAGAGCACGTAGGTGCCATGTTCCTAACGTGATGCTGACGCACAGCTTTGCGAGGTTCCAACCAGTTACCGGGAGGCAGTGGGCGCTGGGCCAAGCTGGGACTCATGACATCACAGAGGAATCTCAGCACTTGAATGGCTGACAGTGTCTGCCTTTGCCAGCTATGCGCTGGAAGTTGGAAGGGAATTTGGCCTCCAGAAAGCACATTTTTACTCCAGCTTGGAGCTTGTCAAAATCAACACGAGACTCTTAGCAGCTACAGAGTTATTCTGCTAATTGTTGCCGACACTGAAGAAAGTGAGGAAATGTTAAAGGGCTGTCTCCTTGTCCTGAGTAGCAACTCTGATCCTCTCTAAGCAGATGGACCAATAATTACTCCCATCAATAAGGGGCAAATGCACAGCTCTGCCTTCTAGTATCTGACCTAGGGGTTCTCTGTGTTGTTTGCCAAAGCCGAGGATGAGAATAGAACAAAAACTGTAGGGGGAGCTATTTTGTTTTGAATGCAGAATGTAATCTGCCTTTCTTGAGTAAGCAAAATATCAAAATTCTCTTGAGTCTCTTTTAGAGAAAAATTTTACTTTCTGGGGTGCTATGAAAATGCTACAGAAATAAGCCTTGTTCACAAGATAGGAAATGTCATATAATATGCATCAATATGAATCTAAATTAGAAAATGAGTTCCCCCAGTTATTTAAAGTGATATTTGGGCATTTGGTGGTGGTGGTGGGGGAGAAGGGGTAAGAAAAAAATGCATAGGCTTTGAAGACAAACAGACCTGGGTTTGGATCCCAGCTCAGCTGCTTACTAGCTAAGTGGCCTTGAGCAAGTTGCTTCATAGCCCTGTAATATGGAAATAGGAAAGACTGCCCTGCCACACCCAGGGTTCTTATTTGGATTTAATTTTGCAGTGCATTTAAAGCTTGACTAGTAGCAAGTGTTCAAAGAATAATTTTTCCCACCTCCCTTATTTCTCTAGAGTGTGAGATATCATACCCATTTATAGCTATCTATGAATTTTGGCTAGGTGTGACGGCTCATGCCTGTAATCCCAGTACTTTGGGAGGCCGAGGAGAGAGGATCATGTGAGAGGTGAGAGGCCAGGAGTTCAAGGCTGCAGTGAGCTATGATTGCAGAACTGCGCTGCAGCCTGGGCAATAGAACGAGACCCTATCTCACACAGAACAAAAGAAATAATTTTGCTTCTCTGATTGGCTTCATACTTTTGTTTGTTGTTGTTGTTGTTGCTTGTTTGTTTGTTTTTTTCCAAGACAGAGTCTTGCTCTCTCACTCAGGCTAGAGTGCAGTCGCATGATCTCGGCTCACTGCAACCTCCACTTCATGGGTTCAAGCAATTCTCCTGCCTCAGCCTCCTGAGTAACTGGGATTAGAGGCGCCCGCCACCATGCCCATCTAATTTTTGTACTTTTAGGAGAGACAGGGTTTCACAATGTTGGCCAGGCTGGTCTTGAACTCCTGACCTTGTCATCTGCCCACCTCAGCCTCCCAAAGTGCTGGGATTATAGGTATGAACCACCTTGCCTGGCTGGCTTCCTGCTGTTTATATGGACAATGTGATTAGGTTTATAAAACAGGGCTTGTAGTCACAATGAGTTCTACTGTGAGGCTGAGTGTCCTGCAGTTATTTCTTTGATAGGATAGTTTGAGGATGAAGCCTCTGCAGAACAGTGTTTGATGCTGCTGGACAATGTATTTGTGCCCAAGCCCACGTCAGGATGAAAAACAAGACAGAATGGCATTTGCTTCTTTGGAGAGGCCTGGGTAGTAACTTGAAAATGATCCTGGAACAAAAGTATATTTCCTGGCATACCACGGATCTATAGCTGTGGCAGTTCAGGGACTGCTCTGTTCCTTACCCAGACATAATATTCTTCTCAGGTTAAGCCTCTGTCCAAATCCAGAAGGCCATGAGGTACAGCAAGTCAAAATCTCAGCTTCCAATGAAACAAGGATTGCCTTTGGAATCTGTTTTCTAAATAAAAAGTGGGGGTTACAACCAGGTTAAGAAAACTATTAATATTAGTAGTTAACCAATAAATGGAAACAAGGTAGGAAAAAAAAATACAGATCTGTGAAAGACCAGCAACATATCACAAGGGAAAACCTGTTGCTGCTTCTTCCTCCTTCTGCTGTGCTGGGCCAGGGTCTCTTAATGAGGAGCCATATCCTCTCAGGATATTACCTCAGACACTATCAGAAGCCTTGCTCAGAGGTTGCTCTCTTACATTTTTTTTCTCCAGTCACATTTATACAAGAGAATTCCATATTTGACAGCACACTGGTACTTCCCTTGTTTAACAAAGGCATCTTAATTTTCCATGACGGTAACATTTAAGTTACCATAAGTTCAGTCTTAAAATAATTGTTACACTGAACGGGTATTCTTAGAATAAAGCCGGAAGGAAACAGAAACAATCACTCCAATTTCCTCATTTTATAGGTGGCAATCTGGGGGCCCAAGTTTAGTGCCT